TCATAATGACTTCTACCAACACAGATGAACTTTCAAGATAACGTACAGCACCTGTAAGCACGTGTCTGGAGAGTGTAAGGCGGAATTCCAGGTCTTCACCAGGTGTTGGTCCGGCGCACGAGCAGGGCACGTCCAGGGCACGACCAGGGCACGTCCGGCGCACAACCAGGACACGTCGGGGACGACCAGGACACGTCCGCCGCACGAGCAGGGCACGACCGGGGCACGACAAGCACACGTCTGGCGCTAGACCAGGGCACGTCCGGCGCTAGACCAGGGCACGTCCGGCGCTAGACCAGGACACGTCCGGCGCTAGACCAGGACACGTCCGGTGCACGACAGGCACACGTCCGGTGCACGACCAAGACACGTCCGGCGCTAGGCCAGGGCACACCGCCCTCCCGAGGCCCCCATGTCTGGCGCCGAGCTGCACACAGTCTGTGAACTGAGCCACACTTCCCCGGTATATTAAACTGACTTGGCGCACCTTGGGACAGAGAGCTGAGCCTGTGACTAGGCACACCCTGGGACAGACTGTGACGTCACCCCAACATCTCTGTAGACGAGCTACAGACAATCTCCGGATCGGCTCGGGGGGATCGTTGGCTTTGACATTGACTTTGGATCCACAACTGTAGACGAGCTGCAGACAGGTGAACTTGGGGGGGGGCATAATTGACTTTGACTTTATTTGGATCCACAATGTGCTTGATATTTCTGTTATCTTCTCTTCCTGTCGTCCTTGACATGTAATGCTTCAATACAAAATAGCACAATAACAAAGGGTAACCACAGAGCACCGTACTGAAAATACATCAACAAAATACAGTTTATTGTTGCTCTCTGATCTGGGAATTCGAAGCTGGCTGCTGAGCAGGACGTCTAAACTCGCAAATAAACCGTATACGAAATGCAGACTTCCCCGATCTGCAAAATTCATGTCATTACATTCAGCAGAACACCAAACTTCCAACACTCAAACATGAATGTCAGTGATATAACCAGACTTCCAACACTCAAACATGCACTATGACACCCAACACTCAACATGCATGTCAGTGATATAACCAGACGCGCGTTCACCGGTCCACCCACGGTTCTATCCACCCAGGCAGACATGTCCACTGCCTGTACACAACAACTGTCCTCAGCAGACATGCCTGTACACAACAACTATCCTCAGCAGACATGCCTGTACACAACAACTGTCCTCAGCAGACATGCCTGTACACAACAACTATCCTCAGCAGACATGCCTGTACACAACAGACATGCCTGTACACAACAACTATCCTCAGCAGACATGCCTGTACACAACAACTATCCTCAGCAGACATGCCTGTACACAACAACTGTCCTCAGCAGACATGCCTGTACACAACAACGGTCCTCAGCAGACATGCCTGTACACAACAACTGTCCTCAGCAGACATGCCTGTACACAACAACTATCCTCAGCAGACATGCCTGTACACAACAACTGTCCTCAGCAGACATGCCTGTACACAACAACTATCCTCGGCAGACATGCCTGTACACAACAGGAATATCCCCCCGCGCAGACATGCCTGTACACAACAACTGTGCCCAACCTTTGCACATACCTTTCCACAATACCTGTTTTATATGCGTCTAACTGATTATTTCCTAGCATTGATGCATATCAGGGCTTTTACATGACCAGCATCACACGTACACAGTAGTGTGATCCACGGTGTGTGATCTCTACTGCAGCACGAAAAGCGCAGCATCATGACGTAGGAGCTCGTTTGTTGTGAAAAGCCTCCCGCTGTCCTGACCGGCCAATGTTAACTATGGCGCCTGCTGGGTGCCGGCAGTATGCATGTTCGCATTCTCCATTGCAGAAATACGACTTATTTCTATGCTACATTATATCAATCGAGCAACCTGGGAAAACTGACGGGCCAACATAATATATTATCTAACACAGCTCAGTATTATGGTGTGTTAGAATAAATATAAGTGCTCGGATGGTTGTTGGTACATCATGTCGTTTCTGTTGCAGGCTATAAAATTTTTACATTATTCTTGTTTTCAAGGTCCAATAGATAGAAAAAAAATCAATCAATCAATCAACCGGGGGCAGCTCACGCGCTAGTAATGGGACACCTTCCCTTATTATCTAAAGCAGCTCGGTCTTACAAATTGGCGATACAAATACAAATATAAATGCTGTGATGGTTGTTGGTACATCATATCGCTTCTTACATATTTCTTGTTTTTGTTTTCTGGAATTGATAAATAAATATCAATGCATCACAAGGTAAGCTCGCGCGCTGCTAACGGATCACCAGGCTGTGTTTCATAAACAGCTCGGTGTTAATGGCGATTCGCTCGGAGTTAGTATAAACACAACTGCTGTGGAGTCTAATAGATAAATATTAAACTAATCGATCAACCTACGGAAGCTCGAGCTCTACTAACGCACCACAGGGTTATATTTTCTAAAACAGCTCCGTGTTATGGCTGTACCCTCGGCGTTACAAGAAATGCAAACGCTCTTAGACTAATGGTACATCAATCATCTCGTTTCTGTTCCTGTTTTTAAATCTGTGAAGTCCAATAGATATATAGATATCATTGAAACTATCAACCACGCGCAGTATTAACGGGACACCCTGCTATGTGTTAACGCTCTAAAACAGCTCGCTGTATTTAGATGTAAATGGCGCTCCGCCCGGCTGCACACATACACAGTACGCTGTACGCTGTACGCTGTACATGTATTTTATGACGTACCTTGGGTGGGTCCAGCAGCCCGTATCGGAAAGCCATGTACGCCATGTAAACAAACCCCAGAGAGATCATGGAGCCCACACACACGGCCACCGTGGTCCAGGTGTCGTCCATATCCACATCCGGCATACACCCTTCCTTCTTCATACACATGATGCTGCTAGTCTGCCCGCATCATACCTAACAACGTCCTAACGAACAACAAGCAACCGTAACGCCCAAGGCACAAACGTACGGGAGAAATAACGTCCTAAACTCGGTCTGGGCAGAATCTGGGAACCCGCAAGATGCCGAAAACATCAACCTTTCAAAGGAGAAACGGCGAGATTCGTATCGTACTATCCTTTTCCGCGGAACCAATCAGCGCTCTCCATCCCGGGATCACATGACGTCACAACAACATGGCCGCCAAAACATAGCAAGCTTTGCCCTTCAAGAGGGAACATAGAGTAAGGATGGCGGTCAAATGCGCAAAGGGCGCCAATAAAATGGATTTGGATGATCCAGTAGAAAAATATCATATTGCCATTTTAGACATTAATGAAAATACTGTGTTGCGGCCGTTAAAATGCAGATATGGCGGTCAAGTTGAGTTGAAGGGCAGGGCATCATCTGTCACTGATGTCATTCTCCGGTGAAGGTAATTCGTGAATATACCGCTAGGTGGAGCCCCGGGCTATAAAACAATGAAGGCAGCTGGTTTCAATTAGTTCGCCTACATAAGAACAAAAACAAGAAGCCATAGGTGACAATTCTCCGTGAAGTATTATATATTGCAACAAAAAGAAGTAGCCATTGGCGACAATTCTCTGTGAAGTGTGATAAATCGAACAAAGAACAAAATTGTTTAAACGCGCGTCGGCTCAGTCATCTTAAGACGCAACAACCAATCAGAGATGCGAAATGCCGACACGTGACGCGGGATTTGCATACAGTCGAAACAACGGGGAAGGGCGCGCGATGCCCGAAATATTTTTGCGTCAATATTCAGCGCCGTGTTTCAAGAGATTAATACCGGGAAACAAATTCTTTTCTTGTTTTGAACGCATAAACATGCATTTACGCTAATCTAGTATGATTCAGGGTTACTTTTTTTTTACCTGCCATGGCCAGATTATCTAAAGATGTGTGTATTGTGTGTACAATCTACAGAAAGAGAAATGTACATCAGGTCCGATCATCCGATTTTCACGTTTCGGTTTTTTGGACTCGGTTCATGAACGTATTTTGGTTTGACTCCTGGAATGTGCGAAAAAAATGACTCCCGGGACTGTCTACAGGGAACACTCGCACATTCGCGGTGTATCAGGACAGCGCGACTGGTCGGCATTAGCGCAGTCCCTGTAATTAGTAACAGTTGCACATCAATCCGGCCGAAAGCATGATTGTGTAACACAGGCTACTTCTTCATATACCGGCTCATACTACACGACGCCTTTACAACTAGCAAATCATAAAATTACCCGATCTACTAGTACTGTATGTGCGGTTTACCAGCCCCAGACCACATCCGACCACGAGGCAGAACACATTGATGGGTTGCTCAAAAATATTGTCCATGTTTACAAAGAGCTGCTCCACTAACACTATGGAGCGGCCCAACCCAAAAATATTGGCCATGTGTCGTTGCTAGGACGACCGGCCAGTTGCTACGTGACTAAATACACGCCGCCACTAGGTCGCCACACCCGACCAGTTTGAAATCGATAGGATTACGTCATCGGTATTAACATTTCCTAATGTTGACCTCTGACCACCCCACATTTCCGCCCCATCAGCCCCGCCGCGACTTACTACCGGTGACATAAACGGACGACAACATTTCAACGACATGGGGATGTTTCGAAAATAACCATTTACTCCAATATCAAAACAGCTACGGTAAAAATAAAAAGACGTGCATCATCCCGGACATAATGCCACACCACATGCGAAATTACACAAAAATGCGACGTACGGAAGAATGCGTTTTGGCTGCGAACATCTTCCAAAAAACTTGGCATCTCTTAACCATGGGCAAAAACATCTGGAACCACTTATAAAAACCACCCCGTATCTGCATGAACTTTACCCCCCCCCACTGCTATTCCAAACAACGCGTTTTTCTGGACCATTCCAATTCACCTCGTAATTGTAGGGGTGCGTCTGCGATATTACATTGACCGCGAAAGCAGCAACGGCAAAAATACACATTCGTGCATCAACACGGGCATGCCCACAGACGGCGTATAAAATTGCGTGCCGATTACACAAAGAGAACCCAGTGTTTTGACTGCGAACATGAAAAATCAGCCGATCACAACACTCCGTCCGGAGGTCCTGACCTCCTTCACGGAGTAATTAGAAAGGGCTGGCTGGAAAGATCTAGCATGTCAGGAGGGACATTATAATGCTTGGGGCTTGGAAGGCTGGCCACTATATATATATCAATGTGTTTGAGGAAGAATTAACAGGAGTATTTTGTTAGGCTACACCATGTGAAGGTAAATCTAGTTCCTATGGTTATTGTGGGGAGTGATTATAGTGGAGAGTTAACGGCCGTGGCGGTGTGTTGTATGAATTTTCTCAGCGAAATTTGATTTCATTTCCGCAGCAGGCAACATCATAACGGCCACTGGTGCTTTATGCGCAGCTGATGTCTTTCTTAGATGTATCTGGGTCAGTAAGCCGGGAACTAACCATTCCCGATGGATCGATTGTACAAAAGTCTGCTCTCAGCGTCTGTGCTGATAGGAACGGTGTGTTCTACGTCATGTGCAGATGCGCCAGGAGCAAGCCAATGGTTCTACGTGGCTCTAAACAAGAAGCACACCGCCAGAAAAAAACGATTGGTACTTAAGATGGGAATGTTGGGCCCCCAGCGGCACAAGCCCATTGCGAGTGCTGGTTTGTAATTACGTATTCAATCATTTGATATTATCTGGACATTTTTGGTCAACATATGGAAGAGTTGAAATTATAATAAAGTAGGTACAGCCACATAAGGTCTTTCTCGTACAAATGCCACATAATCCAGTAGACAATAATCTTTGCTGCTTGAATTTTTCACACATTGCGCATCCAGTGTAAAACTCCTATACTATATAGGGTATCATAAAACTATATGTCAGCCCAAATGCTGTTGACAGATGCATTAAAGTGTTGGAAATTCGTAAAATCTGCTGCAGCCATCTCTATAATTTTCAAATTGTACAACAGTCTGACGTGAATTAGAAAAGTAGAAACCTGGGAAGTTGGGGTAAGAGGCCGGGGGTAGTTGGGCCGGCTGAGTAGGGGGCCGGCTGAGTAGGGGGCCGGCTGAGTAGTCTACTTGCTTCCTACTCCCTCCTGCACACCCTTTATATGTGTGTGTGTGTTTGTTTGTGTGTGTGTGTGTGTGTGTGTGTGTGTGTGTGTGTGTGTGTGTGTGTGTGTGTGTGTGTGTGTGTGTGTGTGTGTGTGTGTGTGTGTGTGTGTGTGTGTGTGTGTGTGTGTGTGTGTGTGCTTGCGCGCACACACTACTTGCGAATACTTCATGCACACTGTTTCTTCTTCCCTTTATTCTTTATTATTGTATACTACTCGCGAATACATGAAACAAACCGTAACGGGGCAGAGATGAGGCGGATCAGGCGCCATTCTCCAGCCGACCGGAAAATGACGCTTGCCGAATGACTCTGTTCCCTCCGGGCCCGAGTCTGCGCTATTAAACACGGCATAATGAAGAACCGATAATGACGACATTAGACTTTCTTTCCTCGTAGCCTGAGCATCCAAATCACAGCAGTGCCTGAGCATGGTTCCGAATAAAGCACAGTTCCGGATGTAACAGTATGTTTAACGTTACATGTCATGATATGGCTGTAACTGTTATACATCCAACACGCACATACATGTAGGATACGTGAGATGATCGCGCACACGTCGTCGCATGCCATCACATAACAGTGATGATGCCAGATAGACAGACAGACAGACAGACAGACAGACAGACAGACAGTTGTTGGCGAGATTTCCTGGCCCTTCTCTTTGCCTCGATCAATCAATCAATTAAAATGATTTATCGATCAATCATGAACATGGCAGCTGACAGCTGAATTGCATTCATAGATGTACATTGTTAAAAACGTCCACGGCTACACAGTCTTAACATGGAATTGCGGCAGTTGAGTTGCCTTGGCATCTTCTATCCTCTCAGTGTTTGAATGTTGTGACGTGGCTGTGGTTCAGCGTTGCCAGGCACCGCGATTATGGCACAGAGCTGATATCTATGAGAGACCTGATATCTATGACAGACCTGGGATATCGGCATATCTGCGGGAGTCGTGATGACCGGGATATCGGCATATCTGCGGGAGTCGAGATGACCGGGCTGAGCGCTGATTTCCTGTGTGTTTAATGAACCTGTTAGATTCTCCATAAATCAGCGGAGATGGGTTCCTAATGTGTGCAGCTAACAGACAACAATAATTGCAGTAAAACTATGCACATTGTAGTACAGGGTGGAATTCTTGCACCAACGTGCTGCCAAACCACCCAGGCACCGAGCGGAGACCGTCCGGAAGTAACGGACAACATCTCCGCTCTGTGCGATAAACCCAGGCGATAATTCCGCGCGAGTTCGGCAGGCAGCTGGTGTTAGCGTAGCCTCTACCAGGCTTGAGGAGGCGGCTGGAAAGAGTAGAAATCGGCCAAAATAGAGAGATAAGCATGCCAAGGCAGTATGGCCGTTGAGAGAAGCCGCCCACGGGCGGCGAACTGTTCTCTCAACGGCCATACTGCCTTGGCATGCTTATCTCTCTATTTTGGCCGATTTCTACTCTTTCCAGCCGCCTCCTCAAGCCTGGTAGAGGCTAGTGTTAGCGGGCAGCTCGTACTTCTAGCAGAGTGGACGTGCAGTATGGTACATGCGTGGGGAGAGAGGCCGGGGGGGGGGCGTATACAGAACCGTGCCTGTCTAGTTCTATGGGTGAATGGGTTCGGGTTAGGATCGGGCATGGTTCTGGATAGTCTCCTCGTATCCAAGAACGTAGATTTGCCCCAGGCATTGGTTCAGGATACGCTAGGACTATCCAGAATCACGCCTGAGCACGGTTCTGGATTTGGCACGGTTCTGGGATAAAGCACGGTTCTGGATAAAGCAACGGTTCTGATAAAGCACGGTTCTGGATAAAGCACGGTTCTGGATAAAGCACGGTTCTGGATAAAGAACGATTCTGGATAAAGCGCGGTTCTGGATAAAGCACGGTTCTGGATAAAGCACGGTTCAGGATGCAACAGCGGCAGCACAAAGTAATTGATGCTTCCTCAACAAGGTGCTAGTAACTGGAATAACAATATAGTCTGCCTTAGCTGATGCGATAAATCTTCCATTGTGTTTCCAAAGGGGCCGCGGGGGGTTT